CCCTCCTCCTCCCCCGCCCGCCTCCGCCGCCGCCTCCACCCCCCGCGCGCTGTCACATTGGGAGATTCCACTCTTGCTACATTCGCCGCTTCGGCTCTCGCCCACGCGCGGCCGAGTGACGCAGATCCCGGCGTGGGCCGCCGCGGGGCGGGGGCGGTGGCCGCCGGGGCCGGGGTTCGGCCTCTTCCCGCCGCCCCCTCCGCGGAATCCGGAGGGCGGCCCATTCACACGGCAGCTGGGAGGAACCAAGTGGGCGCCTGGGAGGGGGAGGCCTCTGTAACTCCTGATCCTGGCGACGGGGGGAGGGGGCAGGAAGGAGGGAAACAGGCGGAGGGAGCGGGGAGACACCTCCTCCAGTCTGCTCTCCAGCTGCCCAAGGAACCAGGAAGGTTTGTAATTTAAAAATGTATGTATATATATTTTAACGTGTGAGGACCTCAATATAGTATTTCGAAGAGCACACCCAGCCAAATCCAACATCCCCGGAGAGCTGCCTTAAAGCAGCTTTTGTTAAAGAAACACAAAAGAAAGAACCTAGCCCAGTCTACTAATCTGGGCGCTGGGCTCGCCCCCGCCTCCGCAGGTTCGCTGCGGACGTGGGCAAGTCTGGCTTGCCAGGTGCGCCCCCAGCTCTGCGGGAGGAGCGCTCCAGCGGGAAGTTGTTGGCTGTGACCTCCCCGAGGAGGAGGAGGAGGAGGAGGGGCGGCAGGTGTGCTCCGCTGGCAGCAGAAGCGGCGGTTCTGTGAGAATCTCAGTCTCGCCCATCCTGCCCCCGCCCACCACCGATTTGGCTTGGGGAGGGGTGTGTGTGGGGCTGAGGAATGAGAACTGACAAATCAAGCGCGTCTTTTAATACTGTCTAGCTTGCCTGGTAACTTAATTCCAACGTTTTCAATCCTCTTGAAAACCTGCCTATTATTTTACTGATTAATATTTTCTACTTGCGTGGTGTGGAAATTCGATGGCACCAGTAGAGCCCTGACGTGTGTCAAAATAGAGTTTCCAAAGGCATGCTCTTTTCAATCAGCTCGTATGCATGCGAAAGTCGGAAAATAATAAGGAAGCCCTACGAAGAATTGATGCCTTTGAATTATGTTGTTGGTGAAGAACATTGAATATACACCATGAACTGCCAGAAGAAGGAACAAATTTGTCTTGGAGAAGTACAGCCGGATTGTTCCTTAGAACCAGGCGGGCCAGAGTTGTCACGTGTACTTGGGACATGTTATCAAGAAGGACCAGTCCTTGGGGAAGGACATCATGATTGGTAAAATAGAAGGTCAGAGAAAAACAGGAAGACCCACAACGAGATGCAACAATAGGCTGAAGCATCACAAGGATTGTGAGGATGGCACAGGCCCAGACAGTGTGTCCTGTTGAGATTGGGTCGTTGTGAACAGACTCAAGGACACAGCAACAACAAGGCATACTAGAGGATTTTTTAGTTTGATTTGCATAAACTTTTCTAGTCAAAGAAAGTATTATAACACCTCCAAAAATGTATTTAAAGTATCGCTGAAATATTTGGAAATTTGTTTTTAAATCTTTTCGTTTCTTTGCCAAAATGTCAAAATGAAAGAATTCTCTGAATTTTAGCATTGTGTTTTTGGAGAGTGGTAGCCATTAGATAATAGAAAACTACTGCAAATACAGGTAGAAGCCCGTTTTAACATACATATAAAAATCCACTTTTATAGGATGTCATTCCCACACCCTGGCTGACCTCCCAGAGTGTGCCTACTTTGCTGATGGGTATACAAGGCATTCTTTGAGATGGGAAATTCTTCATACCACATCTTTATGTTGCAGCAACGGATGGTATGATGATAACATTGAAAGAAAAAGACCTTATTAAAGTATTGAACTTATTTTTGTTTGTTTTTGCATAAACATGTTATAGGAATGAGTAATGCCAGAATGGAATACAGTATACATAAAGTTAAACCTCTTTCTCCAATGTTATTGAAAGGTTCTGTCTGGTGGAGCTGAGTTGATATTTCAAATAAATATGCATGTTTCCTTGCATTCTTCTTCCACTGATGAAATCGGTGCTGGAAATTTCTCTCAGCCTCTCTAATTGTCACGGTTTTACCACTTTGGACCCTGTTCTGCTAAAAAGAAAGATGTCTTAGTTAATACTCCATTGTTATCCTAAAATAAAAACTATCAATCAATTTTTTGACTGGATGGGAAAGGCACAGGCTAACTAATTACCGGGCAATGATATCTACAAATTTTTACTCTTCGGATTCCTCTCTGGAATCATGATGTTTTACAAAATTGTTGGGTTTTAAACAGCTAGAGAAAACTTTCTTCCATAACGATGTACAATCAATGATTCATAAATCACAGAGTAAGTAGTCATAGACCATCACTATTGAGTTTTGTAGTTAGATTGTTTCCATAGTTGGGAGAAAAGACATTAAATCCTCTTTCTGAACTTGTAAATGTCTGGCCAGCACTGAGCAGTGATGAGATGTGTCATTGCAGATATTTTTTCTTCTGTCTTGTAACTGATTGATTCTATAATTAAACACAAACATCTCATTTGTTTTCTGGGCACATTTAGATAGTATATTCTTCCAACATGAAGAATGGCATTTTTGCCCACTTTGCTTTGCCTTAATTGCCTTATGGTGCTGAGGGAGGTGGTGGAAGGAAAGAAAGTGAAGGAAAGGTAAATTTTTAAGATTTTAGGCATGTTGTTCTGTATGTCTATATAAACACTGTACTCAATATGCTCACTTGAAAGAAAATGGAAGCATTTACCAGCATCTGAGACAACTCAGATGAAGAAGTATTGATTCTTATTTTCCACCTTACCACTTTGGGTCACCCATGCCATCCCTAAACTCAGCCTCCTCCAACATGCGCTCAGTCTTCTTCCACTCCCAGGTCCCATGGTTTGTTAAGATAAAGCAAAGAAATGCATATTCCATCCTGTAAGGTAATGATTGAGATGTCTTAATCATTCCCTGAATGGGGGCAGTGGCTCCATGGTAGATTTCTTATCTTGTATGCCAGAGACCATGGTTTCATTCCTGGCCAAAGCACCTCCTGGACAGCCATCACCCATCTGCCAGTGGAGGCATGCTTATTGTGTTATGATGCTGAACAGGTTTCAGCAGAGCTTTCAGGCTAAGATAAACTAGGAAGAAAGGCCTGAGTGTCTACTTCCAAAAATCAGCCAACGAAAACCCTGTGTATCACAACAGTTTCGTTCCATTGTGCATGGGGCCACCATGAGTTGGGGGCTGATTCTATCACAGCTATCCAAACAACAGGCCTTCTCTGAAGGCCCCCTGGTAGAGATCAAACAGTTCCAGGGTTTAAGAGAGTTTTTGGAGGTGATCTCATACAGGTGTAGGAGAATGTGGGAACACAAATAATTACCATCAGAACACTGGAAATCTTGTGCATCCGTGTAATAGTTTTGGTTTCTCCTGGTTTGATTTTACTATAAATACTTATATATTTAAGTCATTCATTTATTGCGGTTTTATTAATCACCTGTTATGTGCCTGGTTCGGGGCTGTGTGTTTAGGACACGAAGACAAGTTAAGTTATGGTTCCCTGTCTCCAGGGTGTTTCAATAAAAATAAAGCACAGAAAATAAGAACGAGGAAATCTAAAGGCAAAGGAGAAATGTTCTGTGGGTTTTTTTTTCTTTTTATTATTTATTTCATGCATGCTAAAAAATGACTATACAAATCAATTTAGGAATAAGTAAGATAATAATAGTCTTTTCATAATTCTTCTTTGAAACCAAATCACAATAAAAATAATTTTCTTAAAAATGGAAAGACTAAGTTTCATGTTGTACTTCAATAAAAGTATATAAGGGCACAAGAATATAATTTCTAAGAGGATATAAATATTTGTCTGTTTGGGTCTATTGTATCTGTAGTGCCTAGAGCAGTGGCTGGAATGGAGTAGGCACTTAATAAATATTTGTTGAATAACTGAATGAAATGGAAAAATTAACTGACTACCACATCTAGTGTTTATATTTTGTAGATGTTCTTATTATGGAGTATATTTCCCAACAGAAGTATCTAAAATTGGCAATACCTGCTTCTGATTAAATAGATGAAATTTCTAATAAATTATTAAGAATAAGCATATGTTTAAAATCATGGTGTAAATTACAAAGTATTTTTTAAAAGTTAGTAAAAAAAAATCACATTAGATTTTCAGGCATTGCTTTCTAGAACCTTACAAAAGTTTAATAAATACATGAAGTTCTGAATTTTAACACTATTTTGAAAATGGGTTGAGGAATGCCTCAAATTCCCATAAGCCACCTGTGTGGTGGCTTTGCATGTGTTCATCTTCTGAAATCTATAGTAAGCCCCTTAGGAAGAGGAACTGTGTCTTACACTTGTTTTGAATTCAGTAAATATGCTTAAAGTTTTTTAAAAATTTATTATTAACAAGTATTTCATGATTCCACACCCTGAACTCCCTGCCATCAAGTCGAGTCTGACTCTTAGCCACCCCCATTGGGTTTCCAAGGCTGTAAATCTTTTTGGAAGCAGATTGCCTAATCGTACTTCCATGGAGTAACTGGTAGGTTTAAACCTCTGACCTTGTGGTTAGCAGCCAAATGCCTTAACAATTATACCACCAGAGCGCCTTACTTCAATGATTAGTTCATTTAAATCATGTAATTTAGTATTTGGAAATATTAGGGATGCTTTTGACCATAAAACCATTTCTCTCCATATTGCAAAACTCTTAAAAGTTATC